AGGAAACACGTGGCAGATTTAGACGGGCTGATCGGGTAGTTAGACCCTAACGGGCGAGCCGGGAAGGCGGGCCCACGCGGCCAGGTCGAGCAAGCGGGTTGCTGAAGCGTGAGTCTTGGATGAATTGCAAGGAGGTCTCGAGCGATTGCACGATGCAATTCCCAAGTAAATCGTGAGAGCAGCAAGAGCCAGACCGCGATTCCTGAGCGTCGAGGGCGCGGCGTCTGAATACATTACGAGGAAGTCTCACGCGAGAGCGCGATTTCTGCATACATTGAGGAAGTCCCGCGCGTGAGCGCGATTGTGAACTAAATTGTGAGGACGTATCGGGCGGAAGCCGTTGTTGTTGTAAGTCGGGGGCCAGCGGCACAATCTAAGGAGAAAGACTTTCCCTTGTAAGAAACATGGTGCGAGCCCCATGAGGAGCACTTCTGTTGAAAAACACAAGGTGCATCGGAGGGAAGTGAAGCCTCTTGGAGGGTTTTGGGAGCCTCGTGGTCCATCTTGGGATCTTGAGCGTTTGGGGGCGATCCATGAGCATATCGGGGCCCTCTTTGGGCCAACTTGAGACCCCCTTGGGGCGCGTTTGGCCCGCCCTGTAGCCCCTTTGGGCACGAACAATTCCAGAGATGAGCCGCGGGAGAGCCCAGGGGAACCGCGGGAAACCCAAGTAGATTTGGTCATTTGAGCTCTAGGCCTTGTAACTTCAGGATCGAGAATTGAGGCCCAGGGGATTGAGCAAAGGACCTGAGTCAACAAACGATGCAAACAACAATTGCAACAACAACGACAACAACAACAACAACAACAATCATTATAAGACTGCTCGCTCCTATCTGCCCGCGTGTCATTCACTATGCATATCCCAAACCCTGGATACCCGCCCTCTTCGTCTTCGATCGTACCCCTCTTGGGGGGTTATATTTCTTCCCGGCCACGTGTAATTGGAGAAGCGCGGGAGGCGAACCCGCAATCAGAGGCAGAGGAGGAGGAGGAGGGAGGGGGAAGGGGGGGAGGGGGACGGGGAGGGAGTGGTGAGGGGGAGGGGGAGGGGGAGGGGAAGGGAGGGGAGGGGAGGCGGAGGGGGAGGGGAGGAGGAGACGAGAGGAGGAGGGGCCTGGGGAGAGAAGGAGGGGGAGGGGGAGGCGGAGGGGGAGGAGGAGGAGGAGGAGGAGGAGGAGGAGGAGGAGGAGGAGGAGGAGGAGGAGGAGGAGGAGGGAGGAGGACGATCAGCGTAAGGGGCGCCGCCGAGTTTCAAATATGTTGTAAATTCCTTGTGTTTGTTGCACCTGACCCCGCCGATCTGCGTGAGGGGTGCCACCGATGTTCGAAAACGTTGCCAATCCCGTGTGTTTTTTGACCCTGACCCCGCCGATCTGCGTGAGGGGTGCCACCGATGTTCGACATCGTTGCAAATCCCTCTTGTGTTTTTGACCATGACGTCGCGATCTGCGTGAGGGGTGCCACCGATTTTCAGAATTCCAAGGATGTCCCAAGCGAAACGGCCGGAAAAATCCCGGACGCGGCCGCGCGTACGCATTAATCGCCTCTGAGCTTTATTCCCTCGGAGAGGTGCGTATGAGAACAATAATTATTTTTCAGGAATGAGAGTTTGAAGGAGGTCCCAGGCGGGAGCGCCGTTATGAGAGTTCAACGTGGCTCAGTTGTGCGGGAGGTCCCAGGCGGGAGCGCCGTTCCTTGAGTAAATTGTGCGGAAGTCTCAGGCGGGAGCGGGGGTCCTGAGTAAATTGCGCGGAAGTCTCAGGCGGGAGTGCCGATCCTGAGTAAATTGTAAGGAAGTCTCAGGCGGGAGCGGGGGGCATGAGTAAATTGTGAGGAAGTCTCAGGCGGGAGCCGTTGTTGTCGCAATCCGGGGGGGCAACAACGCAGTTTGAGGATCAAGATTTTCCCTGTCAAAAAACAGGGTGCGGGCGTCGAGGGGCGCACTTTGACTGAGAAAAAACAGTGTGCACCGGTGGGGGGGGATCAACAATAATTATTCTTCAGAAGTGAGAGTTGAAGAACAACAACAACAACAACAACAACAACAGCAACACTCATTTTAAAACTGTTTGCTCTTATCTGCTCGAGTGCCATTCAACGTGCATTTCCCGAACCCTCGATACCCGCCCTCTTCGTCTTCGATCATACCACTTTGGGTGGGTACGTATTTCTTCGTGAGTTCTGCGTGATTAGCCAATAAGTTTCCAGCGAGAGAGCCATTCCTCCGTAAATTTGAGTAAGTCCCGAGCGAACGCGCGATTCCTGAATGGTAAGAGCGCGGCGCCTGAGTAAATTGCGAGGAAGTCTCCAGCGGAAGCGCGATTCTTCAGTAGATTGCGAGGAAGTCTCAAGCGGGAGCGGGGGACCGGAGTAAATTCCGAGGAAGTATCAAGCGAGAGCCGTTGTTGTTGTTGTAAACCAGGGGCCAGGGGCACAGTTTGAGGAGGAAGACTTTCCTTGGTAAAAAACAAGATGCGAGCGCCGGGAGGGGCACTTCAATTGAACAAATATAATGTGCACCGGAGGGGGGATCAACAATAAGTATTCAGTAATGAGAGTTCAACAACAACGACACCAAGAACAACAACAAGAACAACAACAACAATAACAATAACAACAACAATAGCCACAGCCGCAGCCGCAGCCACAACAACAACACCAATCATGTTCAGACTGTTCGCTCTTATCTGCTCGCGTGCCATTCAACAAGCACGCATATTCCAAGCCCTCGATACCCGCCGTCTTCGTCTTCGATCGTACCTCCTAGCGGGTATATTTGTCTTACTTGCAACGTGTACTTCGTGCAGCCCCTACGGCATGGGGAAGAGAGGACGGATGGAAGGAAGGGACAAGCGGGGGGGAGGAGGTGGAGCACGAGGGGGAGTAGCAGGAGGGGGGGTCAAGAGCAGAAATCACGTGGCAGAACCAGACGGGCAGATCAGGCGGGTAGACCTTAACGGACGGGTCAAAAAGGCGGGCCCAGGTCGAGCAAGCAGGTTGCTGAAGCGTGCGTCCTGCATCAAGTTTGAGAAACCCTTGAGCGATAACGCGATTCCAAAGTAAACCGTGAGGAAATCCACAGCGAGAGCGTGATTCATGAGTGTCGAGGGCGCGGCGTCTGAGTAAATTGCGGGGAGGTCCCACGCGAGAGCCGTTGCTGTTGTAAGTCGGGGGCCAGGGGCCCAGTTTGGTTGCAGCTCACCTTCCCTTGTGATAAACAGCATGCGAGCCCCAGGAGGAGCACTTCCATTTCAAGACACAATGGTGATCGGAGAGGGTGATCAGCAATATTTGTTGTTTGGACATGAGAGTAACAACAACAGCAACAACGACAAAGACAACAACAACAACAATAACAGCAACAACAACAACAACAGTTACAGCAACAGCTACAGCAATAGCTACAATAACAACGCCATCACAAACAACAGCAGCAGCAACAACAACACCAACAGCAGCAACGCAACAACAATCCGCACCGCGGAACCCCACTTCAGCCACGCACCCAGGGACGGTGAATGACCTTTTGGTCCCCTCACTCTGACTACCACTCATGATTGTGATGGTTATGATGACGACGATGCTGCTGCTGCTGATGATGGTTATGATGATGACGACGATGATGAAGATGGTTCTTACGTTGTTGATTTTGTTGGTGGTGGTGCAGAAGACGATGATGTTGGTGATGCTGATGATGGTGGTTAGAGGCTGATTGTGATGCCGATGCCGATGATGATGACGATGCTGCTGATGATGATGGCGTGGCAGAAGTTAATGATAACGATGCTCATGATGACGATGCTGATGATCATGATTGCGATGCTGATGCTGATGATGCCGGGGAGGGCGATTGTGACGGTGCTGACGATGAATAGGATGGAGACGTTGATGGAATGGGTGATGGTGATGTTGATGACGATGGCGATGACGATGGTGTTGGTGATGATGATGGTGATGCTACTGAGTATGATGACGAAGGCGAAGATGCTGATGAGTTCTTTGTATTGCTATTGTTATGATGATTATGCTGCTGGTGGCTGCTACTGTTGATGTTGTGTACGATGGTGATGATGACGATGATGATGACGGTGATGATGATACTGGTGATGGTGATGGTGATGATGATGATGATGATGATAGCACTGATGCTGACGACGATGACGGTCATTATAATGTTGATGCATATGAGATTCGGGTGGCCCCATTCTTTGCGTGGGTAGGGGTTTCCCGCAGGCGTGGTGTCACTCTCCGTATGAAGAGCCTTGGTAGCCATGCCTATGCCGACGCGGACCCCCTTGGTTGCCGAAAGATAGAGTCGAGTCGGCACGGTTGAGGATGATGAGAAAGAGGGGAAGGAGGAGGAGGAGGAGGAGGAGGAGGAGGAGGAGGAGGAGGGGGGGGAGGAGGAGGAGGCGGGGGAGGTGGATAAAGTAGAGTGGATGAAATAGGATGGGCAGACGGTGGAGGATGACGGAGGGAGCGATGGATTAGGATGATGACGACAATGCGATGAGGAGGGTGGGGAGGCTGAACATGTTAACGATAAGCCTGGCAGTAATGAAGATGAAACGATTTTTCTGGTGGTGGTGATGATGCCAACGACGGCACCGATAATGATCACGGCGACCACGACAACGATGAGTATGATGATGATGATGATGATGATGATGATGATGATGATGATGATGATGATGATGATGATGATGATGATGTTGCTGATGACTGTGGTGATGGTGGTTGTGATGGTGATGATGATGGTAGTGGTGGTGGTGGTGGTGGTGGTGGTAGTGGTGATGATGAGGATGAGTACTAGCATTACGATATGTGTGATCATGGTGCTGGTGATGATGATGATGCTGCTGATGATGCTGCTGATGATGGTGGTTGTGGTGATGACGATCATGATTAAGACGTAGAGAAGGAGAAGGTGTGGTCTTGGAGGATGAGGAGGAGCAGCAGGAGGATGCATCTGGAGGAGGAGGAGGAGGAGGGAAGAGAGCGATGGAGGAGGTGGGGGAAGGAGCTCCAGCTGAGCCAGAAGTACTGCCAGCAGGTGATGAATCTGCAGCAGGAGTGCCCTGTCGTCATCCGCCGAGCAGCCACACAGTGGCGCTGAAGAGAGGCGGGCGTGGCGACCGCGCGAGGCAGCACGGAGGATGACATTCTCGCGTCGTGGAACAAGGACGGACGTTGTTTCGCCATGTCCAGCCTCTGGGGGGCCCTCGCGCCCGCCAGGACCGTCAAAAACTTATCCAGAATGAGAAAGCTTGTTTCCTGGGAAGTTGTCCAGATCTTCGGGGTTCACGCTGTGAAAAACACAGCGCCAGAAGGGGATCTGGTCGGGGGCGCGAGGGGTCGAGAGACGCACAGCCAGGACTCGTGTTCTCCTCTTCCTCCGCCCCCTCCGCCGTCTCTATATCTTTCTCTCTCTCGATCTCTCTTTCTCTATCTCTATCTCTCTACATATATACATAAGTACATATATTTATTTTTCCAGTCCTTCTAGCTTCTGCCGTTCCTTCTCCTTTCCTTCATCATGCTTCTGCTGCTACTCCTCCTCCTCCCTCTCCCTCTCCGCTTTTCTCCTGGGCCCTTCCCGTCCTTGTGTCCCTCCTCCCCCGTGCACATATTATCCTTCCCGCTGCTCCTCATACTCCCCTGCTTCTCCATCCTCCATCCTCCTTTCTTCTTCTGCCCCCCTACCCTCCTCCTCCCCCCCTTTTCTTCCTCTTGCTTCCCCTCCTACTTCCCTTCCTCCTCCTCCTCCTCCTCCTCCTGCTCCTCCTCCTCCTCCTCCTCCTCCTCCTCCTTTGGTGGGGTGGCGGGGCCGCGTGGTCCATAAGTCCCATGGGGCCTTCTTGCTTACTCGCCCTGGGGTACCAACCCAGTTGCGCGTGTCATATGTATTGGCAGGGGCTGATAGCCGGGAAGGCCTTCACAGTAAGGAGGTGAGCTGACCGTCCCCCTACGCACCGCCGCCATCACGTATGAGTATCGAATCACGGGGCGACACGGCGATAACTTGTACCTCGACCGTGTTGCGTGAGCTCCTCGCCGATTAGCGAGTTGCCTCTCCTTCACGTGAGGAGGGTGGTCTCCCCGTGTGGTGGCGGAGGGCGGCCCGTTTTGCGATGAGGCAGTGCTTTTTGTGAGGCGGTCCTCTCGCGTGGGTTTCGCTTCTCCGTTCTCCATTGTTCCATGCCTCCGCCTCCTCCTCCTCCTCCTCCTCCTCCTCATCCTCATCCTCATCCTCCTCCTCCTCATCCTCATCCTCATTCTCGGTTCCTTGTCCTTACATATGATTTCCCTCGCCGCATCGCGAGGCCACTTTTTAGGGCGGTCCGGGCGTTTCGCCAGAGATTTCTTTACCACCGACGCCCCTGAAGCTCAAACCTGACAGCCGCTTCAAACATGGAAGGCGGGTGGTTTTCAAAATGCGTCTCTCGCCTTAGCGCCGCGTACATTCGTTTTTGGAATGCAAGAGCTTCACGGATTGAGGGCGGGTCGTTTTCAACATGTGGCTCTCGCTTTAGCGCAGCGCGCATTGTAAAAATGTGCAAGAGCTTCACGGATTGAGGGCGGGTCGTTTTCAACATGTGGCTCTCGCCTTAGCTCCGCGCACATTCGCTTGTAGAGTTTGCAAGAGCTTCACGGTTTCCCGTGACCAGCGTACCAGCAATGATGTGTTGCAACGATTCCGGATTTTGCGGGTGCAACAGTTAGTTTGGTTCGCAACGTTGAAATCCCAAGAATACCGTTATGGTACGGCTCGGGGCCGCCAAAACGCAACAGTCGGTTTAATCCGTGACGTTGGCAACCCGAGAACGATGAGTTGGCATGCGTCAGGCTCTTCCAACGAAGCAGTTCTTTCAGTGGAAATGACCCTCTGTATGGGGCCTATGAGGAGGGAGCTTGGAGGGAGGGTTTATTCCAACATTGTTGATGACTCTTGGGTTTACGTTGGTCCTCCTCCTCCTCCTCCCTCCACCTCCTCCTCCTCCTCCTCCTCTTCCTCACCCTCGCTTTCCTCCTCCTCTTCCTCCTCCTCTTTCCTCCCTCCTCTTCCTTCCTCCCTCCCCCCTCCCTCCTCATCCCTCGTCCCTCCCCTCTTCCTCCCTCCTCCCTCCTCCCTCCTCCTCCTCCTCCTCCTCCTCCGCCTCCGCCTCCTCCTCTTCCCCGCATCATCATTATCATCAGCAGCAGCATCATCATCACCATCATGACCATCATCCTGGTCACCATCATCATCTTCATCCTCATCATCATCGCTATCATCATCAACAACATCAACGCCGTCATCACAATCAAAAACAACAGCATCATCACCATCATCATCATCATCATCATCATCATCATCATCACCATCACCATCATCATCATCATGTTATATCCTCTATGTCTTCCAATCCCCTCCCCCCCTCCCCCTCCCCATCCTCCCTCCCGAGGCGCTCCTCGTCGGCATGGGGACGTCGGAGGCCGTGGCTGCCCACTGGCGGTGCAGGGTTCTTCGGAAACCTGCGGACCAGGAGCCCGCGCGGCCCCTCCCAGGGTCCCCCGCGGCCCTCCGCGCCCGCACTCGGCGGGCGGTCGGAGGCGATCGGGCCGCGCTTGTCAGGGGTTTGATTCAGGGCCTCGGAGAGGAGCGCGCCCATCGGGTGCCCTCCCCTGCCACGCCCCCGTCTCGCGACGCCGAAGGCGCATCTCAAGGCCCCTGGCGGCCCAGGCAGCCACTGTGAAGATCCGCTGCGGCAGCACGCGCGGGGGGCGCGACATCCGGGTCGGCGCTCTTCGGGGCCTCAGGCCCTTCTGCCGACGAAGGCGTCCAGGCGCGGTTTCACACGGAACCCTTCGGGCCAGCGAGCGAGGTGGCGTTGTTGGAGGCGCTCGGTGTGGCTGCGGCCATACCCATACAGAAGCTTTTGAAGGTCACTCTGCGGCTCGTCGGCTGCCAGGCCGCTGCCATCAAGCCTGCTCCTGGTTGTGGGCCTAGCGATTGGCGTGACAGCCGCGTCCTGTGCCTCCACTCCGGCTCGGATGGCCCCGCGCGCCCTGGCACAGTGGAGTTCCTGAAATGGCCATGTGCGAGAGCATCCGCCCCATCTTGCACGACGAGGCCCTGCTTTGATTCGCCGTGGGGCCGTGTTTGCCCTGCCCTGGGCGAGGGGCGCCAATTCGGAGCCGGGCGGTGCGCTGGAGCGCCGTTGGAGATCGCAGAGGTCAGAGCAGCCGCGCGGGCATTCCTGGAGCACGCGCTCAGCGGCATGGACATCGGGAGTGTCTCCGGGCAGGCGGGGAGGTGGGCCGACGCCCTGGCAGCAGCCGCGACCAAGGCGCCCACGGTGGCAGTCCCCATGGCTATCCTCTGATGGGGTCTCCGAGTCGAAGCGTTTTTCTCGGACTCTGCTGGGGGGCCGTCGCTCATTCATCGTGCACGCAAGCCTCATCCAGGAGAGCCAGGAGGGCAACCCCACCTTCTGCACGTTCATCACCGTGGTGTGGCACGTCGTCGTTACCGACCCGCGCCTGCTTCTCTGCCGGCTGGCGAATCGGCATCGCAAACGATAGGTTTCTGAAGGTGCCGCTGGCGATCGCAGTGCAACTCCTCGCCACTGCAGAGGTGGCCGCGGCGGCCAGCAACACCCTGCTGCAGCTCACGACGCGTTACCCTTGCTAGCGCTGGCTGGCGCTCCACCAGCAGCACTCCCCGGCGACGCGCGGGCCCTCGCAGCGCGCATCCCCTGCCGCTCCGACGGGTTGAACCTGCTTGACACGAAAACGCGCGGCGGCCAGGCTGTGCCACTGCACGCCACCAGCGCCCCAGAGCAGACCCAGCAGCGCTTGGGGTGCGCGCTTGTGTTTGGGGCTGCTGTCGGAGGCGATGCGGCCGCAGCCGCCCGCGACGTCAATCAGCGCACTGGCGTCGACGATGTTGCCGCGGACGGCATCCTGGACATGTTGCGGCATTTCGGCATTGTCGCCCGCACTCGCCTTGCGCGGCTGCCCGGCCTCGAAATTGGCAGAAAGAGAGAGAGAGAGAGAGTGAGCGACCCGCTCCGCTCGGAGGCCCCAGAGCAGCACCTGCCCAGCAAGCGCTCTGCAGCGTTCAGCCTCGCCGCCGAGCGCTCCATCTCGGGCTTTCCCTTGGCGGGCACAGGGCGCGTCGATGCCGCACCTGCCTCCCGCGGGCACTCCGACGCCGCGCCCGCCCGGCGCGCCGTGCCCGATCGAGAAGACGCCCACGCGGGAGCACCGCCTCGAGCAGCTGGGCGCACGCGGCGACCGCGCGGCCGCGTGCGATTGCGGGCCATTCCAGAGCCGCCGCGACGACGTGGCTGACGTCTACGCGGACATCCTTGCGGAGGCTGTCGGGCATGTCCCCCCGCGCGCTGGAGGGTTTCTCCGAAGGGATTAGGCGACCCGTCCTCCTCCTCCTCCTCCTCCTCCTCCTCCTCCTCCTCTCCTCCTCCTCCTCCTCCTCCTCCTCCTCCCTCCTCCTCCTCCTCTCCTCCCTCCCTCCTCCTCCTCCTCCTCCTCCTCCTCCTCATCCTCCTCCTCTTCCTCCTCCCTCCTCCTCTCCTCCTCCTTCCTCCTACTCCTCCTCCTCCTCCTCCTCCTCCTCCCTCTTCCTCCTCCTCCTCCTCCTCCTCCTCCTCGGGTCGCCTACGGCCCTGGGGGAAACCGTCCACCGCGCGCTGTTTGTCCCCGAACTTCCGCCAAAGCCGTGCGGAGGCGCGGTGGTGTGTCCCGGCCTGCGGCGGCCCAGCGCTGCCTAGCTGCTTGACTGACGTCGCGGCCAGATACCCTTAAGTCGGGCCTGTGCCTCTACAGAAGGACTATCCAAACATAGCTCCAGAAAATAGTCTGGGGGCGATGTATGGACTATTCTTGAATTGGTCTTGAGTATGTTGTTGACTATGTTTCGATATTTCGTCCAAGCTCAGCCTGTAGGGGGACATGCCCGACCTAAAGATACCCCCTCTCAGTCGCCCACCAGCCAGGGGGCGGCGCATGAGCCAGGGAGCGCGGCGCGCGCTGCCGAGGGCGAGCAGGATGATTGTTGCCCGCCCAGTCCCTCACCTTCGTCGGCGCATTCGTCCCTCCTCACCTCTCCTCCCCATGCTCCACAGCCAATCGAGCACGGCCGATCGAGCACGATCGCTCTTTGTTGTGGACGGGTATAGCCCCCACGAGGGGAAGCGGATTTGTCTTGGGGGGTGGGACAAACATAACTCCTCGTCTCTCGTGCTTCTTGCCCATTCCTTGTCCTCTCGTCCCTCTCCTTGTGGCCGCAGCTTCCCGTCGAGCGACCAGGCGCGCCAGCGGGGCTTTTGTGCGATGCGCCAGATGTGCCCTCCCTCGCGAAGTGAAGTTAGCGTTAAGTCGGGCCTGTCCTTCTACAGGATGACTATTCAAAAATAATTTTAAAATAGTATTGGGACGATTGATTGACCATGTTTGAGTATGCTGGGCCCTTTTCTGAATAAAATGTTGGTTCGCTTAAAATCGGCCTGTAGGGGGCCATGCCCGATTTAAAGTTAGCCGTGCGCAGATGGTTTCAGAAGCGATACGCGCATACGGCATCAGTTCGGGGGCGTCGAAGGTGACTGCGACGCTGTCCGTGCAGAGGACAAGAGGCGATCGGGCGCCAAACCCTTCGCGTGGCCCGCGTGACACCTCACCCGTTGTTCGAAGGGTCTTCGGGCCCACGTGGCAGCCCCTTCTGGGGCCCCATGGCGTCCGCCGGGCTCGCGCAGCTTCTCCCAGGGCCCATGCGACATCGCGAAGTGCGCATCACACACGTTCGAGGGCACAGCGCTTGTAATCGTATTGTCCCGCGGGGCTCCAGTTCCAAACGCGATCGCGCATCGATTTCGCAGTGGAGAGCTCTCTCGCTCGTTCGCCCGCTGCTCTGCGGGACCGGGAGCGCGTCCTTCTCCGAGGGACCTCGCCGCAGCACCAGCGCGCGCTGCCCGCTGGGGGTGCTGCCCGACGCGCCCAATTGTTACGTCCAGTTGGGCTCGGGGTCGGGGCGTCGTTGCGTTAGCTCTTGTTGTTGAACTTCTTCGGCAAGCTGTTGGGCCTCAGGGGCCCGAAGCGTCAGAGGCGGCCGCTGCAGCAGCCGCAGCCATAAGAGCAAGAAAGGCGTGCCTTGCACAGGACAGCAGGAACTCTCGGCGGCATCGCGACAGTCGCCAGCAACAGCTCGATCAAGGGAAGGCTGATGCAAGACAAGAGACCCCTCAATCACCCAGGGCGGGCGGGGCGTCTTTGCGTTAGCTCCTGCTCCTGATCCTCCTCCTGCGAGCTCGTTTGTGCATTGGCCCCGTAGCGCACCCGAGGTCACGCCCCAGCCCATGCCTGGCTCGGCCAAGCCTCCTCCTCCTCCTCCTCCTCCTCCTCCTCCTCCTCCTCCTCCTCCCCCTCCTCCTCCGCGCCCTGCTCCTTCTCGTTCTCCCCCTCCTCCTGGCCCCCCCGGCCCCCTCTCGCCCTGCCCGTCCTCGTCCCCCCCCCCCGCCCTCTTTCCCCATCCTCCTCCTCCGCCGACGCCCTGGCTCCGCGCCGACGCGGGTGGCGGGAGCTCCGCGCGCGCCCCCCCCCTCGGTTCTCTCGGGTATAGCCGGGACCCCAGGTAAGGGGACCTGGTCGGTGGTAGGGCCCCGAAGCCCCTGAATTGGCCAGAGTCACTGAACAGGTCTGCCGTAGCTGGTGTTTTTCGGGTGGCGGCAGTTCCGGTTAGTGGAACGGGGCGGGAGGGGCGTCCCACGAAACCCAGTTCTGACAACGCCCGGTGTTCCCCCTGGCGGAGCGAGGTACCAGCACCAGAAGCTGATACTCGAGAAGCAGGAGCCCGCCCCCTCCCCTGCAGTGCTCGGGACCCGTCGTCGTCGTCGTCGTCGTCGTCGCCCTCCTTCCCTTCCTCCTCGTCTTGTTCGTTTGTCAGTGTATTATCCTTCCGTTTCTGACCACGATCTCTTTCCTTATTTCTTTCTCCATGTGTTTCTACGTCTAGCCCTGCCCGTTTCTCATCATGTTCCTCGCCACACCCCTCTCCGTCATTACGCTCGTACTCTTGTACTTCTTTGTCGACCGTGCCTTTTCTCTTCCTCCTGCGTGCCTGCTGCCTCTTCCTCCTCTCCGTCCTTTTCCTCCTCCCGTTCCGCCCTCTCCTGCTTCTGCAGCTCCTCCTTCTCCTCCCCCTGCTCTTCCTTTTATGATCGTTCTCCGCTTCCTGCCGTGATTGTCCTCGGGCTTCCCTTTGTTGCCTTCCCTTGTCTCTGTTTCTTCACCTCTCCCTGTTTCCGCGCTTCTCTCCTCAGGCCAACGACCTCGTCCTGGAGTTCCAGCAGCGGAAGTCCCAGGAGGAGATGATGGAGCAGCAGGCCCTGCACTCTTGTTTTGTTGTCCTCGCTTTTACAGGGCGCAAGGGCACCAGAAAAACGTGGAGGGGGGTCGCGCTGCTAGTGGGCCCTAGGGGGAGTAGGATAATGAGAGAGACGAGGACAGTCAGCGAATTGGAGGAAGAGGCGGGAGGAGGAGGCGGGAGGAGGAGCAGGAGAAGGAGGAGCGAGGATCGAGTTTCTAGGGAGGAGGAGGAGGAGGAGGAGGAGGAGGAGGAGGAGGAGGATTTCGAGCTCCTCCTCGACGGTCTCCCCGCGCGCCGCTCCTCCTCCGCCTGCACCCAGGGGCCACCGCGTCGGCCTCCGCGCAGGGCCGTGCAGGGCGAAGACCGCGCGACCCGTCGACCGCCGGGCCCTCTCGCGCGGCGCGGCCCAGGGGGCGCGCGGCGGGGGGGGCCTCGCGGGAGGGCCTCGGGGGGCGCCGCGCGGAGACCCTGCGCGGAGTCCCTGGGAGACTTTGGGAGGACCCGATGGGGGAGGGTGGGGATGGACTTCGTTCGGGAGCGAAGTGAACCCCTCGGAAACCGTAGGGGGGCAGGGGCAGGGCTCGCATGTGGCCCCCTGACCAGGCAGAGAAGAAGTGGGCACCGTCGGTCCTGACTTCGAGGGGCGGGGCCCCGCAAGGAGGCCATCGTGAATCAACTGGGAATCCGATGGGCTGGCTGCAGACCAGGTCGAAACTTCTCGAGGCACAACGATCGGCCCCTAGAGGCCGTGCCCGAGGCCTTACAGGGCCGCCGAAGTTTCCCAGGTTTTGAGCTGGAATGGGCCATCGCCCCGCACAGCATGCAAAAAAGTATTGGCTCGTGCAAGGCGTTTCGAACCGACTCATAAACGTCCCCGTGTTCCAAATAGTGCCCCAGCTGCTGCCACGTTCCAAGAGGAGGAGGAGGAGAAGGCGGAGGAGGAGGAGGAGGCGGAGGAGGAGGAGGAGGAGGAGGAGGAGGCGGAGGAGGCGGAGGAGGAGGAGGAGGAGGAGGAGAGGAGGCGGAGGAGGAGGAGAAGGAGGAGGAGGAGGAGTGGGGGGGAATCCTCGGGTGGCACGCCAGCTAGAGCAGGGGCCTGGCTGGGAGCAGGGGCCTATGGTTCCTGGTCAGACTCCCCGACGCTGGGACGGGGGACGGGGGAGGCCAGGGACTGCATCCACAAGGACGTTCAGGCGATCGCAAACATGGATCAAGGGGGCGTGGATTAGCGACGAGTCCCTTTTCCAGAAATCGCGGATTTCCGCCGCCGAACGAGGCGGCACAGGCCGCATTTTGGGGAGGGCACCTCCCCCGATCCATGGTTTTGTCGACCGCGCGCCAAATCCATGGATCGCTAATCCATGTTTGCGCGTTCCCGAGACGTGTCCGAGCCACACAGGCCCGAGGTGATCCTTCACGGGAGGAGGAGGAGGAGGAGGAGGAGGAGGAGGAGGAGGAGGAGGATGAGGAGGAGCACCAGGAGGACCGAGGATCGAGTTGCTCTTTCTCGCGAGGCCTTCCAGGACGCCCGTGGCCCCCAGGAGGAGAGGACGAGGCCGCCCGCGGTGCCCCCGGGGGGGGGCCGGGCGGGGCATGGCGGGAGCGCCGGCCCGCAGTACCAAATGCAGCGGTCGCACTACGAGGAGCAGGTGCGGGCGCTGGGCGAGATGCAGAAGCAGGCGCGCCGCTCTGGGGGCGGGCCTCGCCCGCGGGGCCGCGGTGGAGCGTCTGCTGCGGCCCGCTGGGGCGGGGCGGGGCGCCCGGCCTCTGACGGGCGCTGTCCCTCTCGAGCCCGGCGCTCTTCTTCTGCGACGGCTTCGGGGGGCGTTTCCGCGGGCCCTGGGGCCATCAGCGAGCTCTCCGAGGTGGAGCATGTTCCCGAGTTGTTTTGTGCATGTGCTGCTTTTGTGTGTGTGTGCTCGTTGTGCTTGCCTTGCTTTTGGGTGGTTCCGGCGCGTTGTCTTTGTAGAGGGAACCCTTCCCTTGGGTGTAATTGTTGGCACAATGCAAACGAACAAAGAGCGCCAGAGGTTTGGGTGTGCAGCCTCAAACGTTCGACCCGTCAAGCTCAGTCGGGGGAATTGGCGCCGGGCGTGCAAAGTCCGCCGCGCTGCCAGCAGCGACCCCCAGTCGGCGCCACCCCAACATACTTCTACTATGTGCGTTGCCCCCCCAGTGGCGACGCGCGCACCGAGAAATCTTATAGTATATGCGTCGTTGCGGGCGCTTTCTGGCCACACCGCTCGGGAAACGATGTACTACAAGATGGGTATACTATATGTTCGGTGCGGACGCGCGCCTCTAAGGAGGACATATGGTACTAGTATGTCTCTGTGCGTCCCACCCAGGTACCCCCAAGGGGAGCGAATATGACCGCGCTTCGGGCGTCGCTGCCTGGGCTGGAGAGCCGCGCTTTTCCAAGAGCTCCAAGACAACCGCGCGCCACGCATCGCGAGGCGCGGACGTTGGGCGACCTGGGAAGCGCAGCTCACCGAGAAGGAGCGCTAGCGGGGCTGTCAGATAAAGCCCCTTATGGTGTACTGTTAAGTCGGGCATGTCTCTCTACAGGAGGAATATTCAGAAATAGTCAAGCCATAGTCTGGGGACGACTTCTTGATTATTGCGAAGGCCTTACGGCCGGTGCCGCCGACCCTGGAGGGCGACCCATGCGTTCTCGTATGTGGCGGGGGGGGCCTCTTGGGGCTTCCTGGGGGCCTCTTGGGGGTCTCGTGGTGGCCTCTTGGGGGCATCTTGGGGCTAACTCCGGCGCGGCTCGGGCGCGGCTCGGGCGCGGCTCGGGCGCGGTCCGAGCGCGGCTCGGGCGCGGCTCGGGCGCGGCTCGGCGGCGGCTCGGGCGGCTCGGGCGCGGCCCCGAAACAATAAAGAATCCCTACGTGCAGTACTTGCGGGGGGGGCGTCGTATCTGAGTGGCGCCCCCCCCCCGGGACCCCCCCCGGGACCCCCCCGCTACCCCCTCCCGGCGGGGGAGGGATCAAAGGGAAGGGGCTTCCCTTCGACTCAAATACGACGTTGCTGAAGTTCATTTGGGCTGGCGCGCTTGAGCAGGGGCCCCTGCTGGGAAAGAGGACGGGAGTGGCGACGGGCCCACGGAAAGGGAGGCGCAAGGAAGGGGGACGACAGAGACGACGACCAACGAACAACGGGGATGACGTCTCGAACGGAAAAGCCCCTCACACACGCCGACAGGGTCGGCGGATTTCTGCGCATTTTTTAACTATGCTTGATTTTTCGCTCAAAATCCGCCTGTAGGGGGACGTGCCAGACCTGAGTGTACTGGCCCTCCTCCCGCTTGGCAGCAATGCTGGCAGTCCTGCATATACCGTCAGGAACCTGCCTTTAGCGTGTCGCCAGTTCTGGCCCACCAAACCTCGGCGCGACACGCTGACCACGTCCCCGTCCCCAAGCATCAGCGTTCCGAGATTTTCCGAGCCTCCCATCCCACGAGGCAAAGCGACACGCTTCAGGCTTGCGAGGCACGGCTTGTCGCAGGAGCCGCCGCCCCAACACGCTGAGCAGAAGTTCCTGACCGCAATCGGTTCGAAGGAGACAGAGGTGGCTGTCACAGGGATACGTACGTACTGGGCATGCCATCCACCAGTGCCAGGTGCTGACGACGGTCCTTGTAGCAGGCTCGGTGGTTAGAAGGCTTGTCCGCCAAACCTTCACGCGGACCGCCTTGAAGGATGGAAGAGCAAAGGTGCCCCACCAGATCGACAGGGCTACGGCAATGCACTGCAATCCTCCTCCTTCTCCTCCTTCTCCTCCTCCCAGGACAGTTTCGGCGGCCCGGTGTTACTGACGTCACGAAACAAGAAGCAGCCGAAGTTTTTCCCCCAACACCTTGGGCGCTTTTGGAAGCCAGTTTTTCGGGCCGTGGGGGCGTCCACAGCGGCACGACCGTTGATGGAAAGCTGGTGCTTAGGATTCGAGGACACGCAAGCACGGATTGAGGCGCGCGGGTGAGCGACGGGTCCCGATTAGCGGCAGCGAGATCACGATTGCGTGGGAGGGATTTTCCATCGGCGCCCACGTGGCAAATCCAGGGATCGAGACGAATAGAGCGAACACGATCTGAACATGTCAGCTTACATCTGCAGTCTTTGTGCCCGGTTGTGCGGTTGGGTCGCTGGGCCAGCAAGTTCTGATTCAAGCTCGGATTGTCCTGCGGGCAATTGGAGAAGGATACAGTCTTTCGCTCACCGAGGCACTCCTATAGCCTCTTGAATTTGAAGGGCTGTGAGGACACTTCCTGCGCGAATCAGCTGTTGCGGTCCGGAAGTTGAATCGACCAGGGTAGACTGGCCTTTGCAGTCCCATGGCCCATTCGGGTGGCCTGTCCACCTGCCCCACAGAGGGCTTGTGGGGGTGTCCCATCAGCAGCATGGCGGTGGCAGTCCCGTGCAGAAGCAGGTTTCGATCGTGTGATTTTGCGTCCGGCGGTGCGACGACGTGGCCTGCCGTGCCGTGCCGTGCCCTCGTGCCGTGCCGTGCCGTGCACGGTCTCAGAGAGGGTGGGAGGCTTGCCGTGTGGTGCCGTGCCCTGCCCGCGTGCCGTGCCGTGCCCGCCTGCCGCGTGCCGTGCTGGGCCGCGTCTGGTTTTCGAGGGCGCGGCACAGGGGCCGTTCCGTGAGCTGCCCCGCCGGCGAGCGGTGCGGTGCCGCGCCGTGCTCGGTTTCGAGCATGCGGGACAGCTGTGTGGTGCCGGTCCGTGCCGTGCCCGCGTGCCGTGTCGTGCTGTGCCGCGCTTGGCTTCGAGGATGCGAGCAGAGTTGCCGGTCCGTGCTGTGCCCGCGTGCCGTGCCGTGCCCGCGGGCCCGCGGGCCGTGCCGAGCCGAGCAGTTCTTGGTTTCGAGGATGCGGCACAGTTGCCGGAGGAGGAGGAGGAGGAGGAGGAGGAGGAGGAGGAAAGGAGGAGGAAAGGAGGAGGAGGAGGAGGAAAGGAGGAAAGGAGGAGGAGATAAGGAAGAGGAGGAGGGCGTGCAGAAAGGCCAGAGGCCTCTCGGATGCCTCTCGGAGTCTCTTCAATTTTTTTTTTCGACGAAAATTTACTTCATTGGGGTCCTCTGGGGGCGTCTTGGGGATCTCTTGGCAGTCCTGGCGGCCTCTTGAGGCGTCTTGGGTGCCTCCAGGGGCCTCTTGGAGCCCCTTGGGGATCTCTTGGGAGCCTCTTGGGGACATCTTATGGGCATCGTGGTGGCCTCTTGAGCCTCCTGGGTACCTCTTGGGGCCGTTTTGGAGCACCCTTGGGAGCCTCGGGGGCCATCTTGGGGCCATCTTGGAGGAGATTATTCAAGGAGGGGGGCTCCTAACTCATGGCCCCCCCCAGGAGGTCCGAATGTGGCCAATGTAGCGTGCCGCGCTGGCGGCCCAAGTAAGCCGTGGCGTGGGGTTGCAATGTCTTCTCGCGTAAGATCCGTCTGTTTTTGTTGATCGTCTGTACCTTACCTAGGATCCCCTTGCTAAGGTGCGGCCATAGGAAGGCGGCCCAGGTCTGCCCCCCTTGCTCACAATTCTCCATAGGAGCATCTCAACCAGGCCCCCACGAGAGCTCCACAATGCTCCTACCCTGATCCAGGACGCCACGCGGGCAATCATGGCTTACATGGTCCGTCCCTCGGACGCACAATTCTCCAGAAGGCACGCTCGGGACGCACTGGGGACTGTCTCGGGCGTACCGTCGCCTGGACCTGGGACGCATCGTCTTCAAGCGGGCAGGCTCCGGATCCTGCCTCCCTGGATCGAGCCGGATCGAGGCCAAGTCCCAAGACGGGGTGTCCCCGACTCCCGGAGTCGGGGACACCCGGACACCCTTCTGTTTTGGAACGCACCATCCTCTGGATTGGGATCCCGGGATCGAGCTGGACTTACGACAGATCCGAAGATGACAGCCGGTGTCCGCCAAGGCTCCAAGTGGAGATATTTGTGGTGAGATTTAATGTTAGACCACCTTTCGAAATCTCGCGTTACCTCCCTCCTCCCACCCCTCCCTCTCCGCTGCATCCTGCCGGCTGGTGCAATTGGTTTGCTGTTGCATTTTGCCGGCTGGTGCATTCTCTCTCCTTTAATATTAATGTTTCGTTCCACCATCTGTTTACATTGACCTCCGATTGGGAGTTTTGCTGGAAACCTCCTTGCAGGACCGCGAGAACGAAGTGCCATTTGTAGGATCGCCAGGAAGCAGCAGCCCGAGTTGTGCATTGCGACTCGCGCTTGGGCGGTTTTGCCCAATGCGCGGCGCTCTGGCCAGGGACGCCGGTCGAGAGGTCGTGCAGCGCTGCAAATCCCACCAGACCTCCGATTGGTGAGTCCTTGCTGCAATTCTTCTTGCAGGACCTCGAAAAGGAGAAGTACTTCAGCAGGCTCGCAATTCTGGCTTCCGACATCCTCAGACGGCGGCAGGGCATGCCAGGATCGCTAGAGAAGGGCCTGGCTCCAAGAGTGCGTCAAGACTGCCCAACAGGGCCCCACGGCGACCGGCGATGCCCCCAAAACGACCCAAGGAGCCTCCAAGACCGCCCCTAATAGGTGTCCGGAAGGAGGAAGTCGAGCGAGCTTCGAGTCCCGTGGGCCCAAGACGGCCCTAACGACCTCCGAGCTGGCCCTTGGACGGCCCAGAAGAGCCCTAACAGGGCCGAAAATGGGCCTGAGACAATTCAGGAGGGCCCAAAGATGGCCCCCAAAGCGGCTCGAAATGTCCCAAGAGGGTACCCGAAGGAACACAACACGGCCCAAGATATCCAAGAGGACCCCAAGACGGCCCAAGATGGGCCCAAAATGGCCCAAGCGCGGCCCCAAGAGGGCTCCAAGGCAGCCCAAGACGCCCCCAAAACGGTCACAACGTTCCCGAGTTGGCCCAGACTGCTCCCAAGACGGCTCCAAAAACGGACGCCAAAGGCCCCCACTACCGAATTTCCAGCAGGCGTCCAAGAGGCTTCAAGACGACCCATGGACGGCTGGAGGGTGCGGAAACTCTTCAAGAATGCCCCCCGAGAAGCCAGAGTCATTGAGTTGAAGGCCTTGCTGGTGCGACCCAGATGGGTTTTCTTGACTTCGTTTCGCCTTGGCTTGGCCCCAGATGCGTGGCCAGGAAGGGAGGGGCGGCTTTCGATACTCCGTCGCGTGGCCTTGATGGCTTGTACTTCGGAGCCAGACTCGGGCAGTTCTTTGTTGCTAAGCTCCTCCTCCTCCTCCTCCTCCTCCTCCTCCTCCTCCTCCTCCTCCTCCTCCTCCTCCTCCTCCTCCTCCTCCTCCTCCTCCTCCTCCTCCTCCTCCTCCTCCTCCTCCTCCTCCTCCTCTACGGTCGTCTCCTCCTCCTCGTCCTCCTCCTCCTCTTCCTCCGGTCCTAGGGTGGGTGCAAGGAAGCGCAAGAAACGTCGAGTAAACGCCAGGATTCCCCAACACGTCGCCGGGATCCCAAAAGTTAGCTGTCGCAGGTCCATCTGCCACCTCCAAAGGATCTCCAGACTCGCCCCTGCATTCCTCATTGGCAACTTGCGATGCGAGTTCCTTGGGCGCGGCTAGCACCTAAGCGGGCGCGTGGTTCTAGTGCGTGTGTATATATATACATACATACATACATACATACATACATACATACATACATACATACATACATACATACATACATACATATATACAACCCACGGCCCAGAGGTCCCGACCGCTTCCCAGGGGTAGGTTTTCGTCCCAGATATATGTTTGGTGGCCCCAGGGCCTGATAACGGGCCCCCGGGGGCCGAGATTGAGGAACAGAACGCCAGTTGAACAAATCATATATCGTCGGAGTTTGGGAGTCGGCGGGCTATTCTGCGGCAGGGCCGCAGGAGGAATCGAGCCTGGAGTAGCGCGCCGACCAAGCTGCAGAAGGCGAGCGAGAACGCGCACAGAAGGACTCGAGGACTGGAGGCACCGAACGCCTGCCATTCTGTCGCACACTGGCTTCGCTCGTGGGGCTGCCGCTCCCGTGGGAAGAAAGCATGCCGTCGGAGCTCTGGGTGCGCAGGGTGCCCCCGTGCCGCTCTCTGGAGGCCTGTTCCTCGTCCCCGCGTCGTGCCTGGTGGCCCCGGGGCCCGGCAGCGGGCCCCGGAGGGCCGAGCTCGGAGAAGAGCCCCCAGTCTTCAGCTGGACGAATCTCCAAAAATGGTCAAAGCATAGTCTGGGAACTATGTTTCGAGTATGGATGGCCGTTTTGGAGTATTTCTTTGGGAGTGTTTTTAATTTTTCGTCAAGGATCCCCCTGCACGGGGGAAGCGCCCGACTTAGCGCCAGTCGAGCAAATCATGCGGCCATGATTGTGGGCTCGGGGTGCCGCTTTCCGCTGGGCGCCGCCGGCATCCACGCCCCGAGCCCCTTCCCCGAGCCTCCCGCCCCCCGGAGCAGAGCGGCACGGCATCCGCTCGCACGGCAGAGCGTGTCGCCAGGGCCGCCGCCGCGACACGCTGAGCAGGAAGACGCTCCCGACCACATCGTCGGAGATTCAGGAGGGGGAACAAAAAAACACAGACACAAGTAATCGTCGATCCCCAGGAGAGTATAGGAGAATATGGGAAGTGGGGGGGAAGACAAAAACCCGTAAAATTTGGGAAAATATTGGGAATCCGGTTATTTGTGTGTATTTATTTGTGTGTCTCAGGGCCCCTTCAGAGATGCCGGCCGAGAGGCGGCCCGCCGCAGCCGCCCACCCCTGGAGGGGTGCTGTGTGGTGCGCCAACGGCGGGCGGGCCCCACGGCCTGCAAGCGGTGTCAGCAGGTTTGTCAAAACGTCTTGCCGCTCCCCGTGCCGCTCCTGGCCCGCCTCCGACAGAGAGAGAGAGAGAGAGCGAGCCTCTGTGGTTCAAAGATGTGGTCCTGAGGGATGGGGGCCTCAGGATAGGCAGGGATCCAAGGTTGGATTCACACTGTGTTGAGACACCTCGTCCTTCGGGGCGGCGGTCGCGGAGCGGTTCAAGAAGGCCTAGACGAAGATGGCGGGAGAGGTATGAGGGGGTTGCTGGTTGGAAGCGCGCCGGTTCTTGTAGAACGGTAGTTCGATAGCTTACCCGCTGACGTAACGCCCAGGAATGATTGGAGGCCGCGTAACTGGAGGACGTTACATGGGGGTTAGCGAGGACTGCCGAAAAAGAACCCTTTAGGGCCCCTAAAGGGGCCCTTCAGGGCCCAGAAGGGGCCCTCCAGGGCCCCAAATGGCACCTTTCTTCCTCCCCCATATATCACCGACCCATTTAGTCGCGCCCAAACAAACATGAATAGACAAGCGCGTTCCACAACTCGCAGAGCAACTGCTCGCAAGTGGCCTGAATCCGCCGCGTGGGAGGGTTCGGTCCATCACATACAGGAAGACTGTGTTACTTTCGGACGCTTGCGAGTGGGCACTTTGCGGGTAGCGGAACGCGCTCGGCGAAAGAACGAATGCATGAACGAGCCTCGTCCTTCGGGCTAGGTCGGGCGTGTTCCCCTGCAGGCGGACTTGGACGAAGAATAACAGCTAGTCCACAAATGTGCAAAGATGGTCCACAATACTCACAAATTGTCCCCATACTATTTTTGAGCTCTTTATGAATATTCCTCCTGTAGAGGGACATGCCCGATTTATCCTTAGGGTTACCAACTTTAGCCTTGATCGCCAGAAAGAATTTCGAGCACCGAGAAAGTACCCACACCCGAGTGTCTTCACGTGCCGAGCCCTGGGAGGCGATGCTCGTTCGACACCGTTTCGATCTTTGTCTCGGTGCTCGGAATGATCCCTGGGATTTGGCCCGTAAGCACGCTGGGGACACCATCACCTGAGGGCCCCCCTCCCTCCCGAGCCCAACCCCTGCACCAGCAGAGAGCCGTCCGGGCCGCCGGCCGCCGCAGGCGCCGGAGGCGCCGCTCCCCGCGCAGTACGCCGCGCCGCCGGGGCCCGTCATGGTGGTGGGCCGCCCTCGGCTCGCACCCCTCCACAAGATGCAAGTCGGGCGACGACGACGACGACGACGATGACGATGACGATGTTTTCCTCCTAGTGTTAAGTCGGGCCTGTCCCTCTGCAGGAGGAATATTCAAACATAGGCAAAAAATAGTCTGGGGACGATTTTTGGGGGCATTGTTTGATCATTTTGGGGTATTCTTCGACTAGTTTCATTCTTTCGTCCAAATCCCCTTGTAGGGGAACGCCCGACTTAATCCTAGTGCTAAATTGCGAACACTTCGTGACCAACAGGCTGGCTCGCGCGGGCTCTGCTTTGGCGCGTGGGTAGTCTCGCTTGCTTAGCGCTTTCGAGCCATCGCGACTTAAGCCATTGGGCCATGGGCTCAGGAGGGAGGGGGCCCCAAGGTTGGGTCGGGCATGCCCCCCTACAGGAGGGATGTTACAACCAAAAAAATAAATAAAAAATGGGGACAATCTCTTGGGTATTTTGGACCATTGTTTGGGCATTTGTTGACTAATTTCTGTGCTTCGTCCAACAAATGCGCCTGTAGGGGGACGCCCGACCTAACACAAGATCGGGGAAACGTAAGGCTCGAGTGCGCCGGGTCCGAGCAGATGGGTCAGAGGATCGCGCCGCATCGCCGATGCAGCGGCGACGCGGCTTGATGTGGAGCCCGATGTTCTCCGAGCCGACGGCGCCAGTGCATCGCCGATGCATCGGCGATGCGGCGCGATCCGCCGACCCGATGTGCTCGGACCCCATCTGGGAGGCCTCGAGGAGCGGGGGCTCTGTCTCGGTGTCCACCGCCCAGGAGGTCGATCTCCTCCCCGTCGGGAAAACGTGAGATTCGTGTACGCCAGAACTCCGGTTTGCCGACGCTTTTTGGCGAGCGCGTCTTGGATTTTGACGGTCCGGTGTTTGTGGGATGTTTGCTGCGGGAGCTCACGTCAAATTCCAGATTGGGTCTCGTCATTTTCATGATGGCCCCGTCAGGCCAACCCGAGTCCTATGAACCCGAGTCCTACGTCTCCCCGACAAGACATTTCCCTTCCGACTCCGACGCTACGGCTTCTTTGTCGTGGCGTCGTGGCGCGGTCGGTGGAGAACAAGGTGCCGATGCACCGCTGCCTTTGCCTCGTTTTCGCCCTTTGGAGCCTCCTGGGAGGCCCCTCCGTCACCACCGCTGGATTCGCTTCAAAATTATGGCCAGAACGCACCCCAGGAGAGGTTCGTAGAGTAGCGATAACGGTACGGTGGGGGCGTTGGTTAAGGAATGTGCACAGGGGGCTTCAGACCCTGGAGGATTCCTTATCTGATGAGGGCAGCGGTGATATCCATGGCCAATCCACGGTTGAAGTTCCACTGGCTTCGAGACCCTGGATTCCTTATCCATTGGTTCCTTGTCCAATGCCACCACCGCACCTTTGGCTTCCCAACGTGGGGGCTCCCGGCCCATCCTCCGCGGGGAGGCTGGCTTCTCATCCCGGCTCGGCCTCGCTGATGGCCCTATAGGGGGCGGCCCGAAGTGGGCCCCCACAAGTAGGGGCCCAAGACGGGGAAAGGCCAGCAGCCCGTCTCGATGCCTCCGGGACGCTGGGATTCGAGAGCCCGCGTCCTCCGCGGGGCCTCGCCTTCGTTGTCTAGGGGCCCACGTGCGAACCCTCCCCCCCAAAAAAATCGTGGGGGGTAGGGGTAAGGTTCGCATGTGGCCCCCTATTGTCGCCGTCGCTCGTCGGCTGGCTTTCGGGGCATAGCTCGGGTCTCTGGTGGCCTTTCGGGACGAGCCCAATCCTGGAGGATCCTCCTCCCCCCTTCTCCGCATCCTTGACGTGGCCGCCGCTGCCGCCGCCGCCGCCGCCGTCGTCGTCGTGTCTTCGTCGTCGCCGTCGCCGCCGTCGTTGTCGTCCTCGCCCTCGCCCTCGCCCTTGCCCCTGCTATTGGCCTGGGCTTCGTCGTCCCCGCCGCCGACGCCGCGCAGATGGTCCAGAACCCGTCGTACGTGCCGGCGCCCGTGCCGCAGGGCGCCTCGTACGTGCCCGTGCCGCAGGGCGCCTCGTACGTGCCGCTGCCGCAGGGCGCCGCGTACGCGCCGGTGCCGCAGGGCGCCTCGTACGTGCCGCCGATGGTGGTCAGCCAGATGCCCACCCAGGCCGTTCTCCTCCGTTGTTCTCCTCTCTCTCTCTCTCCTCCTCATCTCTGCTATTCGTCGTCTTCGTTTTCGTCGTTGTTTCCATCGTCGTCGTCGTCGTCGCTTTGGAGTTTGAGGATCGATATTTGGGGGCGCTTTGTGGGGCTGCCTGGTCTTCTGGAGGCCTCAGGAAGCCTCCTGGGGCGTCTGGGGACCTCTGGCGGCCTCGAGAGGTGGAGGGCGCCGCTGCCGTCGCCGCCCCTGGTCGTTGCTGCCTCTGGGCCTTCTCGGGCGACTGGGGGGCACCCTCGTGGCCACAGACTTCAGTCGGGCGTGTCCCTCCACAGGAGGAAGATTCAGAAATAGTAATAACAAATATAGTCTGGGAGCGATTTCTCTGTTATTTGTTTGTAATATTATGGCATTGTTTGAGTATCTTCTGTTTTTCGTCGAAAATCTGCCTGGATGGGGACGTGCCCGACCTAATCAGAGCTGGATCCGCCTCAGAATCTTGGCCAGAACGCATTGGCCCCATGAGAGGTTACGGTATGTTCATGCGGCGTTGGCGCGCCGGCGACGCCGGCGAAGGCGTTCATCGGGGCTCAAGGGATGGGGTCAATGCAAACGGGGATCAGTCACAGCGCCAGATCTTACAGGATCCTGTTGAGCCAGGGTTTGCACTGACCCGGGCTTGGGTGTAGTATCCTGCAGGATCCTGCAGGATTTTGCAGGATCCTGCTCAGCCTGACTGACCCGGGTCTGGATTGACCCGGGTCAGTACATCCCCCATGAATTCTGCGACGCGGAAGCACCGACGGACACGGCAACGCCAGTGGACCCGCCTGAATTGAACCCTGAACGATCGGCGCCGCGATCGATCCAAGGCTGAACGATCGACGCGGTATTCCAAAGACTTTTGCGCGCGCCGACGCCGCACGAATCTACCGTAGGCTTATGTCGGACGTGTCCCTCTACAGGATGTATATTGCAAAATGGTCAAAAAAAAATAGTCCGGGGACGATTTTTCTAAAATGTTCGATTATTTTTGGAACATTGTTTGACTATTTGTCATCTGTCTTCCAAAATCTGCCTCTAGGGGGGCATGCCCAACCTCCGCAGGCCGCCGCCGCCGCCGTTCGTCGTCGCCGTCGTCGTCGTGAAGGCTGCCGGTCGTTGGGCGTGAGGCGGAACGCCCGGCCCGCCCTAATGGCCTCGGGGTGCGACAAGGAAAAGTCATGCACAAGGAAAAGGCATGGAGGAGGAGGAGGAGGAGGAGGAGGAGGAGGAAGAGGAGGAGCAGGAGAAGCAGGAGGAGGAGGAGGAGGACTTCGCCTCGTCGGTCGCCCGCGGATGGGCGCCCTCTGTCGGCACGCAGGGAGGGAGGAGCCGCCTCGAGGCGCCTCGGCCGGGGCGCGCTCAGGGCGGGGGGCCCCCGTGGGTCGGTGGTCTCGGGGCGGCCGGGCCCGTCGGGGGGGCGTCGCCGTCGAGGAGGAGGAGCAGGAGCAGGGGGAGGGGGAGAAGGAGGAGGATGCGAGGGGAGCAGGGGGAGGGGGAGAAGGGCAGGGGGGAGTGCAGGGGGAGGACGAGGAGGATGCGAGGGCGGAGGGGCGAGGAGGCTGAGGACGGTCCATCAGGATGTCGCGACGGCGACGAGGAGGAGGAGGGAGGTCGAGGAGGAAAGGGAGGGAAGACGAAGAGGAGAAGGAGGAGGCACAGTGGGAGGACGTGTGGGGTGCTCCTCCTCCCTTTCCTCCTTTCTGCTGCTTCCTTCTCCGGCCTCCTCCTCCGCTCTCCTCCTCCCCCTTGCTTTTTTTTTTCTCTCTCTCTCTCTCTCTCGTGGCACGCCATACCCAGAGCCCAGAACCGAGATCCTCCTCCCTCTCCTGTGCTCCTCGCCTCCCGCCTCCACCGCCCAGATCCGGGCACATCTCCCCGTCCTCTCGACACCTGGAAGCTCCTGATTCTGGCGACTCGAGGGCCTCGCTCCCGCTCGTCCAGGCTCAGAATCGGTCTGCAGCGCCTGGCTAGCTGCCCGCCGTAGCCCCAAGCAGCGCTTGCACTGAAGGCAGTTCTAGTTCTGTTCAACCTGCACGGTGGCCCTGGCACACACATACCTTCTCTACTCGTTCTGTTCCGGACTGTTCTGTGCTCGGTCTGGTGATTCGGTCGCGAAGAAGAGAATCTTACGCTGGCCCCGCTTGTGACTTGACTGCCTGCCGTTTTCCCCGCCCTGCCAGTCGCTGTCGTGCTCGTCGCCGCTGTCTGCTCTGTCGATCCGCTCTCTGATCCTCAGAATGCTGGCTTGGTCCTGCTTCACGCCGTCCTGCTCCCGTCGTGCCGCACGGCGAAGGCCTATGGGCTCAACAGAAGCTGGATTATGATGAGTATCATAGTAATGTTGTTGTTGAGCTCTCACTTCTAAAGAATAGCCATTGCTGATTCCCCCTTCGGTACCCATTGTGTTCTTTCAGTTGAAGCGCTCCTCCTTTAGCTCGCACCTTGTTTTTTACAAGGGGAAATCCTGAGGCTCAGATTGGGCCCCTGGCCCCCAGTTTACAACAACAACGGCTCACGCTTGATATTGCGAAGGCCTGACAGCCAGTGCCGCCGACCCTGAAGAGGACCACGACGTCGGCGACGAAGTGGGCGGAGACGGAGGCCGTGGAAGATGATGAGGAGGAGGCGAGGAGGACGGGGAGGAGGAGGAGGAGGAGGAGGAGGAGGAGGAGGAGGAGGAGGAGAGGAGGAGGAGGAGGACGAGGAGGAGGAGGAAGAGGACGAGGAGGAGGAGGCGGAGGAGCAGGGAGGAGGAGGAGGAGGGAGGAGGAGCGGGAGGAGGGGGGAGGAGGAGGAGAAGGTGGAGGTGGAGGAGGAGGAGGAGGAGGGGGAGGGGAGGAGGAGGAGGAAAGGGGGGTGGAGGAGGAGGAGGAGGAGGAGGAGGAGGGAGGAGGAGGAGGAGAGGAGGGTGGCCAAAGAGAGGGCTCCGTCGGCGCCAGAAAGCCTCAATCCTCGAGCCTGGGGTTCGGAGTCCACAGAGTGAGCAGGAGGAGGAGGAGGAGGAGGAGGAGGAGGAGGAGGAGGTGGAGGAGGAGGAGGAGGGGGGGGAGGAGGAGGAGGGCTTGTTCTACATGCTTAGTCTTCCGTCATTGTCGGCCTCCGGGGGCCATTTTGGGGACCGGGGAGTCTCGAAACCGGACCCGTGGTGAAGAACTGAGCCGATCTTCTCAAGACGCCGGAGGTCTGGGCTTCCCGAGCGCTCTGGCTGCCCGCCCTGCGGGCAGCGGCGGAGCCCCGGCTCGCCGCCTCTCACGGCCCTCGCAGCCCTTCGGAGGCGAGAAGGCGAGAAAGCCAAAACCATGGGACTTCCAGGTTTCGGGCGGTTTCCTTTGGTTTCTTTGGGGCATCCGCGGACGGCTCGGAAGATTCCTGTCGTCGAGGGCTCGTTTTTGGCATCGTGTGGGAGAGTCTTGGACGGCTGGGGGTATTTTGAAAGGCTCGTGGCATAATCTGTGAGCTTCCGAAGCCGCGCGGGGTTCCGGAACCGCGCGGGGACCGCGCTGGACGCGCGGGGAGCGCGCGGGCTCAGATTGGGCCCCCGGCCCCCAGTTTACAACAACAGCGGCTCACGCTTGATATTTCTTTTCCGTGTATGTCAGCAACGCGCTATCGCGCGGGACGTCGTCGGCATTTATGCAGGAATCGCGCTCTCGCGTCTAGCAATTCATTGCGGCGCCGTGTATCCAACTCTCAGGAACCACGCTGTCGATTTGAATTTCCTCACGATTTACTTGGGAATCGCACTGTCGCTCGAAACTTCCTTGCGATTCATTTTGGATTGGCGCTTCAGTGACCCGCCCGCTCGACCCGGCCGTCTGGGCCCGCCCGCCCGACTTGCCCGTTAGGGTCCGCCCGTCCGACCCGTCCGTCTGCTTCTGCCGTTTGGCCTCCTGCTCCTGACCACCTTCCTGCAAATCTCTCTCGTGTTCTATCCTTATCCCTCCCCCCTTGTCTCTTCCCTCTTCCCTTCCTGCCCTGTTTCAGGGGCTGCGCTAACTACACGTGGCAGGTAAGGAAGATATACCCTCAAGGGGGGTATGATCGAAGACGAAAAGGGCGGGTATCGATGGTTTGAGATGTTGAGATATACGTGATGAATGACACGCGAGCAGATAAGAGCGAACTGTATTAACATGATGTTTGTTGTCGAGTTCCTATGTCTACATGACATTTATTGTTGATCCCCCCTTGCCTGATGACCATACTGTGTTCTTCAATCAAGAAGCCCCTCCTGGGGTTGGCACCTTACTTGTTTTACAAGGTAAAGTGTGGGGTCACCAAACTGGGCATCTGGCCCACTGTTTACAACAACAACAATTACAACCACCACCACCACCACCATACCAACACAACGACAACAACCACAACCACAACAGCAACAATGACAACACCAACAGCAACAACAACAACAACGACTGTTCGCTCCTATCTGCTCTCGTTTCCAATCAATACGTATATCCCAAACCCTCGGTACCCGCCCTCGCCGTCTTCGATCGTGCCCCCTTGGGGGTATATTTGCCTTACTTGCCACGTGCATTTGGCGCAGCCCCTGAAACAAGGGAAGAGAGGACGGGTGGAAGGGGGATGGAGAAGAATGGAGCACGAGAGAAATTAGCAGGAGGGGGGCAAGGAGCAGAAAGCCCGTGGCAGAACCAGGCGGACAGATCGGGTGGGCAGACCCATAGCGGGCAGGTCGGGAAGGCGGACCCAGACGACGAGGTCGAGCAGGGGGACTGCTGAAGCGTGGGTCCTGCATGCAACGCGAGGTAGTCTCGCTCAAGAGCGCGATTCCCAAGTACATCTTGAGAAAAGTCAAAGCGAGAGCGTGATTCCTGAGCGCCGACGGCTTATTGTCTGAAGAACTTGCGAGGAAGGCCCACGCGAGAGAGCGACTCGTACATGAATTGTGAGGAAATCCCGCGCGAGAGCGCGATTTGGGAATCAATCCGCAAGGGCTTCGCCCC